CAAACAGGTGTAGAGAGCCTCTATGTGCATGTTAGTGGCTCCACCACGATGGTTGCTGTGGCTCGTGTTTAGCAGTAAATCACTAAAAGATGATGTTTGAGGAGAGAGGCTGCATTCTGCACAACACAAAACCCTGCACTGGGACCACAACATATCCGTTATTACTACTGTGACTGAAATAGCTGCAGCTTGACTTCTGTTGCATCCAATCAGGTGGAGTTGCAGTTAGGTTTTTTAAGAAAAGCTTCAATAACATCAGTCAACTGACTCATTGTTGTAAGGCTGTTATTTAATCTCTAGTATATCATTATGAATCCACAGAAAGTTGATTTCTGCTGGATTTCCTCAGATCTCACTCCGATGTGGTGGTAGAGGCACAAAGATGATTGTATTTGAGAATTCTCTCCAGTGTGTGAGATCCATACAGCCCGAGGTTCGGTTCAGCCTCACAGTCGTGGAGCTGCTACTCACTGAACGAGAAGATGTTTTTCCAAGTGGTGATTCAAAAACAACCTCGGATTTAAGGAGCTAAATCTCAGATCCATAAGATGGAATGATACCTATCCAGGCTGCATGTAGGTGAATGTGATCACCTGGATGCATCATTTATATATAAATGTTTATGTCTGTGGCATAAACCACTGTCATTCAGTAATATGACATTTTGGGATTTATCTCGTCATAACTACTATTGTGCTAAACTATTGTTTTAACGTTGGCCTGTTTTGCACACAGCAACACAAACTGTGTTGTCATGGTGATTAGCTGTCAGTAGTTGCGGATAATGGAGAAATATTTGAAATAAAAACTGATCCCTTTGAGAATCTGACTGAATGAGCTGAGAGCAGTGATTGTAAAGTCCTCCAGCAACACATCTCTTCCCTCAGAGGATTTTACTTCCCAAACAACAGTGACGGGGTGATGGATCCATTCAGTGCAGCAGGCTGCTGTTTCATTTTATTGACTGACTAATTATGACTGTTTGTGATCTGCATGCATTTTATTTATGGTGCATGTGTGCTACTTACTAACTGAAACAGGTTGTTGCAAAACTACATTTAGTTGTTTAATATGCAATTAATTACAAATAAAGCATGTATGTGGAAAGTGTGTTCATGTTCAGTGTGTTCACGTGTAGAGTCAGAGCTACTCCTGTATTTAAAATGGCTGCAAATCATTTGTCTGATAAAAGTGTTGAAACAAAGCGTCGTGAATGAATGTATTTCTGGAGGTCACACAGGAATTGCAGGAATCAGTTGGAAACGTTTTGCTCATCGCTCTCCGATGCACCTGTCTCATAAAATGTAGAGCGCTTCTTTGTCTTATATCCTTTAAACTGTACCAATAAACAGACCGACCAAAGAAAACACTTAAAAACTTTATTTTGTTTCTTAGTTACTGGTTTATCAACGTAACTACACCTAGAAGGACTATAAACAGTCAAAACCAGAAGTTTACATGCACTGTATGAAAAGACATAAAATCTTTTCTCACTGTCTGACATTAAATCAGACTTTTCCTGTTTCAGGTCAGTCAGGATCACCAACATTAGTTCTATTTGCTAAATGCCAGAATAATGAGAGAGAGAATGTTTTATGACTTTCTCCAGAGTCAGAAGTTTACATCCACTAAGATGCCTTCAGACTATTTGGGAAAGCCCAGATGATGATGTCATGACTTTGGAAGCTTCTGATTGGTTAATTGACAACATGTGAGTTAACTGGAGGCACACCTGTGGATGTATT